CGATGCTGGTATAAAGTCTTTAGGGGGAAAAGCTAGTTAAAATGGTATCGTAATATCTACATATTTCATTAGGGGAATTTAAATTCCGAGTCGCTACATTACTCTAAAGGTTAATCGAGATCTCGTCTTATACCTCAGTACTAACGAATAGGAGGAACAAGATTACCTTAGATTCTAGACAATTGAACTGTTGTTTTACGTCATTATTGACCCAAAATATGATTTAATATGGTGGATACTTGTGAATAATGACTGAGCGTATGTATTCGTTATTTCATTGAAATAACTAAGGATCAATACAAATATATTTGGTAGTGAGACCTAGCGAAATACGCCTAATGTAGCATTTTAAAACAATAAATCTAAGGAAGTAATTTGAGCGAACTTTGATAATTACGACTTTCATAACTCGATTATTCATTAGAAAATTGAAAAGCCATAAGTAACTATGTTCAAAGGAAGTTAAGGGACTCTGAATAGGTAGTAAAATTGGACGAAATTGTCCCAAAAATCAGAAACTAGAAGGCAGTGGAATTTCAGCCTGCTTCAATTTTATAAATTTGCATATCTCCATTGACGTCCTAAGTTAGACCATATGAAATAACCTATTGTTTACAAAGCAGACAGTGACTGGCCACTGGTGGTTTTATATGCACCAGCAGTGAAAGTTTCTATTTTACAGGCACTGCGATTTAATTATTGTCCGATACCATAAACTGGGATACTCATGTTAATTTGATATTTTGTTGCCAGCCAAAATGAAATTGCACATTAAGATACATATATTGATGGACTCGTAGGTCAAGCAAATTCAGGCTTCGTAAAGCCTTTCGTAATTAGCCATAGAGAGATAATGAATCATGGATGCAAGACGGTCTTGATCATACTTCAGCTAGGAGGGGTCCGAGGAGTCGTCTTCTTGGCTGGGGGGGAGAGCAGCGGCTGTGCCGTCGGCGAGAGTCACTTCCCGTGGCTTAATTGGGGGCTGCGTTGAAGAGTTAGGCGGTTCGAGTATTTGAGAATGTTGGGTCCCAAGCCCGGCAAGTGAAAGAATAGCACGATCTGGTGAGTCTTGCCAGCCAATGGAATCATCTATTTTGACCTTACGATTCTTCTCCTTTTCCACCTTTAGTCAACCAAAAAGAAATCGGAAGTAGAAATAACCAATTGAGGCGTATAATGCAAAGGCTATGCAGGAATATTAAGTTATGGGGTGAGCCTTTTAAAGAAATTCGTGTATTATGTTCCCTATCAGGCACACCCTTGAGGGGTTAATATGAAAGTTAAAGGATATTTCAAAGCTATTCGCAATCCGATAGATTGAAAAAGTTTTGACCAAGTAAATATTACTTGGGCATAATTTGCTATACCACAATAAATTGTAGGTTATGTTATTTTTAAGAAATTCGGCTCGGCGATTTAGAAAGAATACAAGACAAAAACTCACAGTAATGGATAAACTAGATCACATAAAAAATGTAAATTAGGTGGAATTCTGCATAAACGTGGTCTTTTTTACAGGGCTAGCAATACCCTTTTGAAGAATCTTTCGGATGAAAAGGCTATTGCATATTAACATAGTTCAGAACTTAAGCAATGGGCTGAAACGGAATCTTCTAGTTTAAAAGTGAAGATCTATTTAGCGAGGCTATTAAAAGGTAATCATTAAAATATGCAGATTTTAAGTCACAGCAAGGGAACCAGAATTTAAATTAAGTACTATCTAACATGGAGAGCAACATTTAGTAGCATGCATGACAATAAGGATAGCAGCCCTGCATATAAATTTGCATAGATTGAAAAAAAGATGAATCCGGAGTCGGTGTATAGGTAACCTGATTCTGTTCTAACTGTTATACTCCAATCTCAAAAAGTAAACCAAGAAGCCGAAGCAAGCGAAATAAAAAAACCCGGCTTGTATACTGCATGGTGGGTGTAAACGAGCGTCAAATCCGCAACAATGGGCCTCGTGCATAATGTCACATGATCTCTTATGAATCAACCACAAGAGGGAAGTGATAACAGTCTATAAAAGACTAAGAAAAGGATAATGGACAAAAGGGGCTGTTAAGACTGCTATAAAATGCAGAGCAAAAGAATTTAGAGGCCTACAAATAAATATCAAGGGTCATAATTAGATGAGAAGACAGTTATTTTCAATACAAAAGAAATATAGCGAAGGAATAAGGCAGAAGTGACGACTGACC